AGAGGGACTGAATTGTTTAATTTTAATTAAGATGCTTTTAATTACCAGGGGGAATGTGTGCTCACCAGAGAGAGCAAGGGAGAAAGAGAGAAAGAGAGAGATAAAGCACTCTCCTTATCAAAGGGGCACAGAGATGCCATACTCCTTCTTCCTTCATTTCTCCCTCCCACCAGAAGTTTGGGCATGTAGTCATACATCCCTCATGTGTTCTTCAAGCCACCAGGACTGGGACTTGAACTATGGTCAGTCATATGGGATCCACCTGCAAATACATAATGCTTAATCACTGTGCTACAGGGTGGTCCTAATTTAAATTTAAATATCCATATATCCTAGTCACTAGCAAATTTGACAGAGTAGCTGTAGTTGTTGGATCAAGAAATACCCTTGCATCTTAGGCAGTATGTTCCAAGACGTATCAGTCAAGTTTGGATTTCTTTTCCCCAGTTTAATGTGTTTGCTTCCAAGTTACTGTCCTTGTACAAAAGGACAATTTCAGATACAGTATAGGAATTATAAGGCACAGCATCTAAATAAAATAATTTGTAAAAAGTAATAATACCCTGCTTAGTTTATATACATTTTCTAATTTTGTTTTGTAATGTATCTTCTAATAACTTTAAAAATAAACCCTTCCTTAGGTATCTTACTTTAAGGACATAGTAGTAAAGTAGATATTCTCAAGGTAAAGTGGGAAGAAAAGGAATTACTTCTTATTTTTCAAAGTTTAAAGGGTAACATACACAATAGAGATGGCCTTGAATTTTAAAATCATTATTTTAAACAAAATAAAAAATGAAACAACAATTGAGACATCTCAGATACCAAGTCCTGAGATACAAATGAGATAAGAGCTAGATCCACTTGTAAATAGACAGGGTAGGCGTCCTGAAAGGAAGTCACTGTGTTTGTCTTCTTAATGAAGCCTCTGTGCTTTTCCTCTATAGTCTGGCTAATATACAACATACACCTCTTTTACATGTCTCTAAAGAATTTATGACTCCTTGCTAGTAAGGCAAGAGATAGGAGTATTGAGCACCCAAGATGAAGACCCAATAGCCAAGTTTTCACAACAAAAAGCTGGCTGCCTTGAGACTCAAAGCAACTGTAGCTAAACAGTTTCTGTATTCTAACAAAATGTACAGAATGCTATGGTCTGCTGACTCCAATGAGGAATAGGGTAAGAAATCACTCAGACTACCATGTAACTATTTTC